GATGTCTTTATCTTTTGGTTTTGTTGGCTCTGTAGTTGTCGTTGATTCCGTCCATGGACAATAGACAGGAGGAATTGAGTCCCCTTTTGGAAAATGAAAATAATAAGTATAGAAGTACCGTGGTGTCAGTCACTGACTGCGGTATATGCAGTTACATAGTTAAATTTTTATCCATGTGTTCGTGCAATTCATTATTATTAGTGCCATGCAAAATAGTTAGAGGAATCAAAGCCAGGGCAGAATTTATTTAGAAATTATATCTACTGTTTGGCCCTCCTAACAAAGCCACACCCACCCTTTTAGCTAGATAAAAAATGTAGGATTTGTTGAATATTAATTTAACCCGTAACAGAACAAAGAACAAACTGAGCCATACAGTAGATATTTTGTGGATTAAGAAGATATATTGCACTTTGGTGTTTAGGGCCAGGCCTGACCATACATGACGACTTTTATTTACATGCGTCCAATGATACAAGGGTATATACTGCTTGGAATCCCTTCTTATTTGATTGACTGTCTGATTTAAACGTCACCACAATATTATCGGCTAACACGTTCTTTACTTCCCATCCACCTGATGGTATGTTTCCACATTTCTTCCTTGAAAAATTATTGCTGTAAGAAACCTTAATGGACCGAAATGAAGCATTTAAAACTGAATAAAAAATCTTGAATTTCCTTTTGCAAAATTGCCAAAAACAAACAGCACCACATGAAAGTACTGTTCAATAGCTTTCATTTGAATGGTCACACGCTCAAAAGGTATAGCCACATTTATTGAATCAAGGTTTGATTCTGGGAGTAAAAGGGTCAATGTGAGTTTATATTGAGGCTAGGCTCTTGGTTTATATTTCCAAATACTCGTAACACTTAGGTTTAAGAACATTTTGTTGTGTCAAGTCTAATCAAGAGACTAGGTCTAATAAAGGGAAGCAGGAATCACGCCATTTGCGCCAAAAAATGATTTTAAAAATGAAACCTTTTATTTATATAGATATGACACAATTGCATTATCTTATTAATTTCTACATATCATTTCTGTTATATAGACCTATTTTTTTATAGGCTCTTTCTCGTTTCGTATAGAAGATAACAGCTATAGACGAATAACAGTCTTTATGAATAGCCTATTGATTATTTCTCATAGCGGTCTGTAGTTTTAAGGAAACATCAACGAAACTGATATTTATTGAAAACTGTGGGAAAAGCACTTTATAGTATTGGAAAAAATTAGATTCAAATTACCTGAGCCAGCCTTTTCTTAGCTTTGAATTACCCGTGCCCCAGCATTTTGGTGCAAACTGATGCGGGCACATATAAATTTGCAAACGGAGCAAATGATGATCATGTGTCGTCTTTAAGAGCAAAACGACGGCGGGCGAGAAATACTAAAACTAATTTAAAATGACTGACATACCTTCGCAAACTTTACAAAACTAGACAAATTTTTAGTTTAAATTATTTTTTCAAGAATCTAAAGAAAACTTTTTCCAAAAGTGAGTGGAGGTTTCCTTTAAGACTTTAAAACTCCCGAGATTGTACAGATTAAAATAGTATTTTCATCCTACTCCAGGCTCAGGATTAGATTAGAAGTTTCAGTAACTAGGATTAAATTGCAGCAATGAATATTAAGAAAGTTACCTCGACATAGTCACATGTACATGAGCTTCCGCATTCTTCAACCTCAAAGTCCAGGAATGTTAAGTAAATCTTGTAACCTGAAGGAATGGAAATATTCCAGCCGCACTGTACATTGCCAGGATAGTTTGAAGGGAAATTTGGGCTGGAAAACCATCCACTCATGTTCGTCAGTTGGATCATTTGAGAGCATGCTAAAGAAGGAATCAATTAATTAATTAATTAATTAATGAGCCCAATTCGTTCCGCATAAATTTCCATGTTTGAGTTGAGCTGATTCAAGAACGTGATTTATGCTACGACCTATTCAGAAGTAGTTGGCGGGTAGGCTGTAAAATATACCTATTTACAGTGAGTTTAGACTTAAACCCACAGTTCAACAGAAACGAAACTGTTTGAATGCCCCCCACACCCCCACACCCCTCTCCCCTATATCAATGTTGGAGCCTCGCAATACAATCTTGGAGAGTAAGGTTGCTAGAAGCTCAACATTGAAAAGGGGAGGAAAAAAATTACTTACCTTCTCAACACTTTTGCCTTGGGTTGTAAACTCTTAGAAATTGTGTCAAGGTATAGCGGCCTTGAAATGTGAATACAAGATCTTTGCGGCAGAAGCTCGAAAATCCACCCACGTGCAAATCCAATCTGAATCGAAAATGCTTTCGTCTTCAAGCTAGAGACTCTAATCATGATTTCGGGTTTGATTTCGTTTTTTAATTTTAAAGCTCCACAAACTACTTTAGGCTCCACAGACTGGAGAGATAGTTGTCGACAAACTATTTAGTTGTCGATCATAAAAAGTTGTCGATAACAAAAAAGTCAGTGTGTGAAGCTAGTTGTCGATAACTAAGGGTCTTAGTTATCAATACTGACTAGCTAGCTTCACACACTGGCTTTTTTGTTATCGACAACTTTTATGATCGACAACTATCTCTCTAGTCTGTGGAGGCCTTAGCTATAAGTTCACAAATTGATTAATAATCGTATCATATTTAACTTTTAACTCACCTCCATCAAGGAATACACTTTGATATTCAGCTACAAATCCCTTTGACGTGTACAGCTCATCCCGCTAACATAGACAAAGAGATGGTATTTTCTAATCGGAAATGAACGGCGTCACAGTAGATCCCAAGCACAGTCTTCTTGAGTTAAACACGGCAGTTGATATCCAAACTATTACACTGACAGTGCACACCAGTCGTGCAGATACCAAGACATATCCAGTGAAATAAGAGGACAAGCCGAGATCCAGCTTGACCGGTTATATTCCATGAGCATTCCATGTCGCTGGGATAGTTGGATGGGTAGAAAGGACTTGAAACAGATCCTGAAGTTCCGTTGGAAATGACATTTTTAGGACAAACTGCCTGTTAAAAAGGAGGAAAAAGTCATCATGATGTTAACTAATAGAGTTACGATTAATTTATTTTAAAACACAACTGGCAATGGAGGGAATAAAGATATATATGCATCTAGGCTTTGAGTAGGCTTGGTATTCAGTGTCTGTAACGGAAGGGCCCTGAACCGGCAAAAAAATGCAAAGGAACAAAGCAGAGTACCAGAAGAAATGACAATAGTTTGTTTCAGTAACGTTTCGTAAGGAAACCTAATACTTTTTATGGAAAAAAAGAGACTAACCTATCTACCCTAACTGATAGATTTTCAATCAGACTGATTGAAATTTTGTATAATATAAAGTTGAAGAAAAAGTAGCAACATAAAAATCAACAACGAATCCAAAAACTAAAATAGGAGCGAGGGGAGAAAATTACTTACAAGATGGATCCAGCAGCTTCTTGAAGGACGCTTCAAACGAGTTGCTTGGTTGAGTTGAGCTGTATTCCACCCACAGTTGTGTACCACTTGAACGAAACACAGAGGGACCCGGATTCGAGTTACAAACTTTATCCAAGAGAGTGCTTGAGCTGCTTGAAACCATCTCGAATCTTGAAAGAGAGCAATTAATAAGGAATGGTAGAGAGAGAAAGAAAGTGTTAAAGGCCAGTATAGCTGAAGCAGAAACTTGCTAGTTTACTTCAGTCTTCGTACGCATAGTTTAATTTTGTATGGAAAAAGTGTATATCGAATTAAGGGGGAAATATCCTCAGTCTTACTGCAGAAGAGTCATCAGAAGAGTAACAACAAACGTGCAAACATCCATTGTTATAACGACTAATGTCGTGTTCTAATGGGATCAACCGTTTTAGGTTGGTTGGGTTGGCTAACGATTACAGTAACTCAGTATATTTGCGTAAATCCCGATCGTCACGTAGTTGCTTTGTTTGGCGCATCATATATATGACATGTTATGATAAGCTAACCAGTCTCCACTCATGTCCAGGATTGAACGCAGGTAATGTTTTTTAGATACTTCATGTATGACTGGGTTATTTGTCATTTTCATATTACTTCATATTTGACAAAATTATGTGTGTTTTGGTGAACTTTTATCAATGAGGACACTTTGTGATGCCTATCATGAAGAGCGTGCATCTCATTTGCGGTCAATCCTGGAAATATCTCGAAATTCTACGAGCTTGCTAGAAAAACTTCTGACACCATGTATATCGTTCTTGACCAATTTGATCAGCAAAACCGAGAGTTTTTTTAAATATCTCAAAAAAATAATAGGAAACAGGCGAATGCTGAACTTACTCAATGTATCAGTGTATTATTAATACAATTTTTTTGTCATGTGATTCAGTGTTTTACACGATAAAAACATAAAAGTGAACTGCTGCGGAACAAAGTGTCCTGAAAGTGTCCGTTTTCACGGTTCTCTGCTCAATAGACAGCAGAGGCGGATCCAGGATTTTTTTATAGGGGGGTCCCAGGGTTTTCCCGAAAAGTAGATTGAAGGAAAATTTTTGGAAGTAGACGGCAGTAGTAAAGACACGAAGGAGGGTGTTTGGGGGCCTCCCACAGACCAAATTGAGATTTTAGGCCCTGAAAAGTTCATTTTGGTGGATTCTGGAGATCGCTATGGACAATAGAGAAAGCAAAAAAAACCCTAAGGTCTGATAGGGGGTCCGGACCCCCCCGACCCTCCCCCTGTATCCGCCACTGCAGACAATTAACCACAATAATATGCTGCCTTGAAGACTAAACTAAAGGTACAATTAACTTAGGTAGGTACTGTATGTAGTCATTAGCACAGTTTGTATTTCCACTGGAACCCACACTTTTCTGTGTTATGGTGAGTTTAACTGTATAATTGTCAGGTACTGTGATGACCCATGAACACGTGGAAACGTCACTAGCTCTAATAACTCGATCACCGTCGTACGGTACCCGAGCACTGCTTGAGCACTCTGAAAATACATCATGTTAAATATCAGTAAACACTCCCCATGCCTGGCTTCATAACTCAGTTGGTAAAGTATTGCACCGATAACGCGGAGGTCATCGGTTCAAAGCCCGTAGAAGCCCTGAAATTTTTTCAGGCTTCTTTACAATTGCTTAAATTGCAAATACAACTGTGATGATAATATCTCCACTTTATCGTCTATAACTCAGTATTATTCTGTACGGTAGTGTAGCTTAGTACTAAAATAATGAGCCGTCAACAAATATCAAAGCTTTTAATTTTATCCTGGGTGAAATTTAAGGAATTGACTTTAACAGGCCTCGGCCTGGATGGAAAAAGAGAAACGGGTCAGAGACCCGTGAATAAATTGACTACGAGAAAGCCGAATTCATTCATGCATGCATCATGTATGCCGAAATGCACATCATGCATGCCAAAAACATCATACATGCCGAAACGAACTTGGCTTGGACGAAACATACAGCACCATCTATTTCTACCAAACAAAACAAAACAAAACAAAACAAATCATTTTATAGCACTGCTGTGCTAATATGAACAAATAACTATTGTAAATTGAACATAAACTTGTAAAGAATCCCAACTGGCAGCGACCGAGGAGTTGAATCGGGACTACCGTTAGCAAATCCAGCTAGTGGCAGGGTGGAGCCGGATTTGAACCAGGGACCTCTTGTTTTATCAATCAGTGCAACAGATTAAAACAGTCTAGTTGCCATGTTTTAAACGTTTTTAATCATGCAGTTTGGGCAATATTTGTATTACAGTTTGGCGTATGCAGAGGAAGGGAAAGATGATTTGCAACAACGATTAACTGAAAGTAAAGTTAATATACTTACCAAAGGCAAGCAAACTCTTCGTCTGTGCAGCAATGAATATTGATGCTGTTCAATAAAATAATAAATTAACATAAATATATATGATGATGAGATGAAAACTTTATTAAAGTGTCAAGAACCTTGTAGCCTGGTAATAATATACCATACTAATTAGGGACACTGCTCAAAAAAAAAAACTACACTAATACTAATATTAATACAATAAGAATATATATAAGTGATATAAAAATGTCATTGTAGTCTCAGTGATATAAAAAGTATTAAAATCTTTAACTAATTGTAAAATTATGACTAAAAAATATGACTTGAAGGGCATTATGTGCAGCATAGGATGCAGCCCTTACAGCCGGTGTCCATTAAGCGAGTTATATCACTTTTGCGAATACAGTTTGTAAAAGCCTGCAGTGTCTTGGCTGATCTGTCAGCCGTAGACAGTTTGCCCCATAGTTTGGGTCCTACATAACGCAGAGAGTGCTTCCCATAAGTAACAGTGTTGTATCTAGGAGTAGAAAAATCTGATTGTCTCAGGTTGTATGCGGAAGTATGCTCGTTAAAAATGTTACAGATGCTATTGGGGCATAGTCTATGTTTAACTTTATACATGAGAATACAGATGTCCTGTAAACGCCTGTTCGCTAGAGTTGGCAACTTGGCTCTCTCCAGTAGCTGAGTATAGCTAGCATGCTTGTCTTTGTAAACGGCCCTCAAGCCCCTTTCCTGTAGTCGTTCAAGTTTACGTGCATCGCTAGCTCTGCAAAAGTGCCACACTAGGTGACAATAAGTAAGGTATGGTAGTACAGCTGACTTGTATAACTGAAGTTTGGCCTTAGTGGGGATTAAATTCCTTAGTCGCATTAGTACGCCGATTCTCTGACTTGCCTTTATGCAGGCTGAGCTAACGTGTTCCGAAAAATTCAGTTTGGAGTCAATAGTTACCCCTAAAAGTTTAAGAGTATCTGCGGTCTTAATTTTCTGATTGTTAGTATAGATCACTGCACTATCTATAAAAAATAGGCCCGCGAGGCGTGCTCATGGCTACTGCATTTTTTACTCAGAGAATGCGCATACATATAGCCCATGAGCCGATTAAACGAAATGGGTTAGGGACTCTCACGATTTCAATCAGTAAGTTATATTTTTCTCTACCCAGCAGTCATGAATCCACATCATCCCTTTATAACATGTATACTAGACATACTAGATATAAACATTTCCACGCCAATGGCTTTCGTTAACTCTCACCAGACCTCTCAATTGATAATATAGGTCAAGACTTCGTTCTCCGAGTTGTCGCCGTTGAGGATAGTGCAGCAACTTTGTTGGTTTTGTTATTTTTTTCTTTGGTGTATTGCATTTGATAACCCTAGCCCTAAGGCAACATCTCTTGCTTTGGCTAACCACACTAAAATAATCAGGCCCGTAAGGCGAGGGATGCGACAGGTGCGTCCGTGGACCGATGGCTGTCAATAAAGTGAATGAAAAGCTCTAATTCGCTAACTGGTGTAGTCTGGAAATGAAGCCTGAATCAACGAAGATAACATCGAAGGTCCGCCATTTGTAGATTTGCTGGGTGACATATTAAATTTTGGACCAGATCTTGAGATTCTATAAGCTGAATTTAACGTTAACGATAAATTCGACCTAAAACCCTCATACGGAATTTTAATCCCCAGGATCTCAAAATGAGAGAAGACTGGGTACCCCAATAATGAACTGCAAAAGGGCTCAGCATGTGTGTCAATATTGGATAAAATGGACCGAACAGAGCCAGAGGTCACAGAAGAGCGAAATAGAAAGGCCGCAGCAAAATCCTGTCAATCGATAGATACATTTGTCCGTAAATTGTAAATTACATGTCACATAAAGTTTCTTGCAATTGTTTGTCATTAATCCATTTTGAATTTAAAGAAGCTTTACAACTGCTGCTTACTAGTTTAGCCTTTTGGGTTAGAAAAAAATCGTTAAAAATCGTCTGGAACAGGGTATCTTTTTTAACATTTAGTCTGGAACAGGGTCGCAAAATTAGCGTTTTGTAGTCGGTACAGGTTAAGGGGTTTTATAGTCCAGCGGCACACCCCTACCCAAATTTTTTTTGGGAGTACCGCCCCCCCCCCCCCCCCCCCCCCCCCTCCCCGGGCTTCGCTCCTCGCGCGTGACGTGACTCTGCTCATATCCTAGCTAACTGAACTGGGTAATTACAGTACACTGCACGATTCACGTTTAACGTAACAAATTTATTAGGTCACTTTTAGCAACACTTTGCTCTCGTAAACTAGCTCGCCGACTTCTCAGTTGCGGACAACAAACTCTGTTCAGTTTATTTACCTTCATGTCATTTTGATCAGTACAAGACTTGAAACCCAAGCTAATTTGAATACAATCACCCACTGTTTTCTTAAAACAACGGAAACTGTGCTCAAATGAGATGATCTTATCTTTCGTCTACAAACCAAGCAGATAAGTTCGTCTTTAATTTTAGAAGATATTTTCATATTAAAATCATTCCTCGTTTCGAAAAAAATTTAACACACTTAACAATAGTAGATCTAAAATCCATTTTCTAATATCATTTTGTCACGATGTCTAACGTCAGACTCCCGAAAGCGCGGTGAATTAATTTTCTGCAATCCAGCACGCGGCTTTGATCTTTGTCACAACAGCATTCGCAGCATTCATGCTGACATAACAAAATTCTCAAATCACTCATCACTCATACTCTTCTGATTGTCGTCATACTGTAATATCTTTCTTTACACAGCAGCATTCGAGTTGTAAATTCACGCTAGCATAACAAAATTATTTGGTCCCTCAGCAATACTTTCTTCTCTGACTTCACCCCTCGCGCGCGCGTGTGACTAAATGAGTAGATAATAAATAAATAAAATAAATAAATAATTTATTAAAATATGTGACCCTCCATAGGAAAAGGGGGCTTAAGGTGATTTTTTACAAACGCATTTAAACGCAGCGTTTGAAATGCTTTTCAAACGCATTTCAAATTATTTCAAATGCATTTCAAATGTGTTTCAAACGGTTTCAAACTGAAGGCGTTTCAAACAGAAGAAACGCGTTTCATTGCGTTTGAAACACAAAAATAATTAATTAAGATGTGCATAATTATTTCCATTACAGAGGTTAACGGCCATACGCCGGCCAAATTTATAACAGAGCTGGACAACTAGGGTCTTTTTTGTAGGGAAGCTCGCGCACGAACTATTAGACGAATGAATAGAAAACGTTTTGCAGAACCGGTTCAAGCGTGATGGAAACAAGTCCTATTAATAAATGCTAAAAGCGGGAACTTTATAGCTTTAGCTCAAAAATAGTATCCGATATACGGATAGCTTCGAAGGGTGACGTGTAAAGTTTCTAAAATTATAAAGTTCATTCGTAAATCTTGTATGCATCATCGACGAGGTCGTAGCCTAATTTACATTCCGTAGATTATTATCTGTTCTCTGGATCATGCTGGATACATGACGCACGCAATAAAAAACTGCTAACAGCTAGTAGAATTAACACAAAAAAAATCCATAGAGTGCATTAACTGAAAAATTGAAACAGAACTACAAACGTATGTAAAAATCGACCGCCATTTCCTTCATTCAAGATACAAAAGAATGTCGCGCTTTTGTGAACAGATGATCGGCGGACTGATTAAACTAAAGATAACACTGACGTCTTCGACCCGCAAGAGTTACAAGTATCGATGTTACAGAGGAGTTAATACATTGAGGTAAATTGTTGTAACATTACAGGAAAGAAAACGAGGAGTTATCGTACTGTGTTGGTTTCACTTGGAATCGAGGCATAGAACTGATGGGCCTCCGTGACAAACGTCAGTGTTGCGTGCGTTATGCTCGATCTGCGGTTAGAAGTCTTGTCTGCTGTCGATGTCATGTAAGTAAGTATGTCAAGCCTTGTCCGAGCGTTTCTGTTTTAGGTGCACGCTCAATGCATTGCGAAGTGTTTGAAAAACGTTGCAAGATCGTCAATTTATACACATGTAATGATGTTTATACTGTGTACGTGCTCGCTTACACGTTTTTAGAACAAGAAATACACCTGAACATTCCTGTTATCTTTCTTGATATCTTTCGCGTATTTATACACGTAAACATGCTTTTAGAACGAGGTTATTCCCCAGGATTATTCCAGCGTCTTTAGAACACTTGTACGCGCTGTTCTCTTATTAAACAAATTAATTACTAGGTACATGATGTAGGCGAGTTGACTTCAGTGTGGGCGAGTTAACTTGTTGGCGA